GAACAGAAAATCCTTCGTTTCGAAATCGCTCAGGACAACCTAGAAAGGGTTACTGGTGATGAAAACGTGCTTAAAAAGATTGTTACCGGTGATGAATCGTGGGTTTATGGATATGATCCCGAAACAAAACAGCAATCTTCACAATGGAAGCTTCCATCTGAGCCGCGGCCGAAAAAAGCACGTCAAAGTCGGAGCAATATCAAATCAATGTTGATTGTCTTTTTCGATTATGAAGGTGTTGTGCATCACGAATATGCTCCTAGAGGTCAGACGATCAATAAAGAATATTACGTTGAAGTTCTAAAAAGAATACGTGATGCGATTAGAAGAAAACGGCCACGTTTTTGGACAAGCGGTGATTGGCTTCTTCACCACGATAATGCGCCAGCGCATTCATCGAACCTTGTGCAACAATATTTAGCAAAACACAATGTCGTACAGCTTCGCCAGCCTCCGTACAGTCCCGACATAGCCCCATGCGACTTTGACTCTTCCCAAGATTGAAAATGCCGCTTAAAGGACACCGGTTCGACGACAAAAAAACGGTTGAAACCAATACGACGAGTGCACTAAAGGCCATTCCGAAAACTGAGTTCCAGGACTGCTTCAGGAAGTGGAAACACCGATGGGAGCGTGTTGTACAGTCAAATGGGGACTACTTTGAAGGATGCCACGATCCGGATAACGTAGAGTAACGCCAGTGTGCAGATATGAAAGTAGGTCGGATACTTTTGGGACAGACCTCGTATATTATGGCAGATTTCGTACATCCAAATGTACACACACCTGGTTACCAGAAGGTTGTAACACTTTCTTCGATACATATTGCAACTGTTTTATGATTCGTCACACTGATTAGATTAATTAGCAAGACGAATAATTAAACGGTTGCAGAACTGTTGGGTCTGCTGGACACGACTATATATTCGGTGAGCAATCGAAATTAAAAATAGATCGAAGGAAAATTGTTACAACCTTTTAGTGACAAGTTGTAGGTATATTTCGATGTACAGACCCGAAATCTGCTATAACATATGCGTATGGCAGATTCCAGGACATCTTGGAATTTTTTATAAGCATTTATATCTTTAGATATACACGGATAATGAAATGCCTAATCGCAAATATTTACCTGGAGGATTTGCTAACGGCGTGTTAAGTTTTTTAATGGGGTCCTTCACCCGGAGATTTAGTATACCACTTATCTGCCATACACATATTTTATAGTAGATTTCGGGTTTGTACATTCAAATGTATATACAATGGGTTGTACAGATTCGGAACCTGCCATACGCACATATTACGGAAAATTTCATGTCTGTACATCGAAATATAGATACAACTTGTTACCAAACAGTTGTAATACTTTCTTCGATGCATATCGTAACCGTTTTATGATTCGTCACGCTGGTTGGATTAATCAACAAGACGAATAATGAAACGGTTGCAAAATTGTTGAGTCTGCTGGACACAACCATTTACTCAGTGAGCAATCGGAATTACGAAATACATCGAAGGAAAAGTGTTACAAGTTTTTTGTGACAGGTTCAATGTACATTTCGATGTACATACCCGAAGTCTGGAATAATATATGCGTACGGCAGATTCCAGGACATCTTGGAATATTTCATACGCACATATATCTTAAGATATACACGGATAATGGAATGTCTAATGGCAAATTTTTGGCAAGACCACCTTGTAGCTTTTGCTAACGGGGTGTTATGTTTTTGTTAATTATGTCCTTCACCGGAGTCCTAGTAGTATACCACTTATCTGCCATTCGCATATTTTATTGCAGATTTCGGGTCTGTACATTCAAATGTATATACATTGGGTTGTACAGATTCGGAATCTGCCATACGCACATGTTATGGTAGATTTCGTGCCTGGACATCGAAATGTACATACAACCAGTCATCAAAAGATTGTAACATCTTTCTTCGATTTGGGCTTGAAGCTCATGGTACATATTTATACTACGTTTACAAGACCCGATATCAACGAAGTTATGCTATTGATATGTATTAAGTCCTATACACAATATAAGAAGTATTAGGAACAGCAATAGATACTGAGATTTCTACTTATCAGGTATCAGTTACTTAGGAATTTGCGGTTTCTAATATAAGTTGAAACTTTGATATTTATTCCTACACCTAATGTTGTGCACAGAGCTTTATAACTACACGGAGAAAAAATTTTATATTTAAAATTACTATAATGTGGTAGTAACTGCGGACCATCGTGTAATTATAAGTTTAAATGCAATAATATAAAGTAATTTTTACACTTTTTCATAGTAATTTTTTCATAAATTTTTTCATTACAAAATCAAACCTTGTTGAATAAAAGTTAGCAATGTAAAGATAATAAAAAAGCAAAAAACCTACCAAATATTGCTTTACCATAGTAAAAATTAACTCTTTCCATGATTTAAGCACTGATTTAATAAAAATTAATTCATTTATGTCTGATAAAATTAATATTACCACAGTAAATGTTACATCGGAATATCGTTGTGAGGGTCCATCTAAAAATATAAGACATAGTAAAATGTAATTTAACATTGTATTAAAACTTAATATAAAATTTTCTCTGTGTAAACAATTAAAAAGGTTGAGCATTCGCCACACACTTGATCTTATTAGTGAAAATAATATATATATTCTTGATACAGTTTACAAAAAATTACGAAATCATTTAATTAGATCAACATAAGTAATATACATTAATAAAATAACCCTATTGTTACGTCCAAGCCCTTGGAAAAACGTTTAAACGGGAGAGACAAGGATGGAGTTGTAGAAGGTATGGAAGGACGTTTAGACTTTATCTCGCAGGTATACGCGCAGTGGCGAACACCTGAGAGTCGGACGCACTTCCTATCGCTCCGGAATATGAGTCAACGTCCTGAAGGGACGCTATAACGCCTGTTTCCTTGAGCAGAGCGTTCGTCGGTCCAATTTTGAGTCAAAGAAATGAATCTTTATAACTCGGGAGTGGACCAGGTGGGATCCTTGGGAAACGGCGAGAGTACGAGGTCTTTTGAATTTAAAAATTAACTGAAGGAAATCATATTAAATAGACTTTCGTTTTATTACTAAAGTAAACTACAAAGGAATGTGATAGTTATTTGTATAAACTTCATAATCTTAAATTTTATAATTAAATTAAGCATAAGTTTTGAATTTACACACATTTTGCAATCGAATTAAGTTATAGGTTATCATTAGGTTCACATAAATTTCGCATAAGTTTTATAATTACATAAAAACATAATTGCTGAGAGAGGTTACATATATTTCGTAAGTTAAGGTAAAAATAATCATTAGATTTATATATATATATATGTATATCGAAGAAAAACTTAACGAGTCGACATGGTTAGTGGTATATTTGTACAATTGTTGATTAATTGTGCGCTATTGAGTTTGGTAGTTATATGTATGTGTAGTCGGAGAGGCAATACATGTTAGGTTAATTAATTTCATTATTATGATGGAGGAAGGGGGAAAGGTGTCATTGAAAAAGTCAATGGGGACTAAATATGGGAAGGGGGAAGAAGGAATGTACACTGCTATGAGTACATCGGGAGGATGTTCGGTTATGGCAGCGCGGATTTCCTCGAAATCTCACTGCGGATCGATTTTTATTAAAATTCGCAAAGTGGCAAAAGAGAAAAGAAAAGGGGGGAACTTATTGTTATTTGGCAGAGCGGTGAGACTGGATGTTTAGCTTTCGGTCCTTTGGTCTCGGTTGGGCCTCTCCAGCGGCGCACTGATTTTAATGTTTTTAATATGTTTGGAAATGTACGCACTGAGTTTAAAAAAAACTTTTTCTATCTTTCTGCCTTTCTACTGACTTTCAGACTTTCCTATCTTTCTGACTGACTTTCTGACTTTCCTATCTCTCTGACTTTCCTATTTTTTCTCCTCTCTATTTTTTTTTCTGCTCTCTATTTTTTCTCTGGTTTGTGTCTCGCGATGTCGCGGTTTATATAGGGATAGTTTTAGGGGGAGGTTCCATGGTAGGGTATGTCTAATTGGGAAATTAGGGAATCAGATTTACGGGATTCTAAGGTGATACAATTTTGATTCGTCGTTGGAAAATTGCCTTCCGGTTAGCTCCGTCCGCTATGTCATTTTTTATTCATTCTCACGTTGAACGATGGATAGATATCTCTGGATTTGTTAATCGAGAGTCGCGGTTCGTGTTGATTTTTCTCAGTGTCGGAAAATGTCATTACTAGATTTATAACCCTATCTTAAGCCTAAGCGTGGGACCATTATCGTTGGGCCCGTGCGATTTCGGTGTGGTTAAACATTTCATCTTCTTTCGAGCGTCGATCCGCGCTATCACTCTTAGGGTGCGATTACATGAAGCGCGGAAACACGGAAAAGCGGAAGACAAAATTATCTAGATTTTACTAAATTTCCGCGTTTCCGCGCGTTTTGTTTCGTCTGTTTTGATCTCCTAATATTACATGGAGCACAATTTTCGCGGAAAAGCGGAACGGGGTATTAGAAATTATTAATTTTTAACGATATTTATTGATTAAAATACTTGTATTCAATGCAAAAGCTAAAAAGATAAACATATTAATAAAAATTGTAATGAATTAAGTGAATACAATTTTTTTAAATGAATATAAAAGTGTATTTGTCACTATACCGTTCCGCTTTTCCGCGGAAATTGTGTTCCATGTAATATTAGGAGGTGAAAACAGGCGGAATAAAACGCACGGAAACTCCACGTGAACCAAATCATACCGGCGAAAAAAAATGGATCGGTTGAATAAAATGTTAATGGTCATGATCACATTAGTGATACAAGCACAAAATCAAACAAGAAGATATGCAGAGACAACGATGCAAAAAGTGACACAATTGTTTTATATCTACAATTGCTTGAAACAATTGGATAAAAGACCAAAACGTAAAATGTGGGTAAGACCCATTTTTTCTGAACAACAAAGATTGTTACAAGGTGCTAGTAATAATCTAATCGTCGAGATGCAATTATTTGACAAAGAAAAATATTTCAACTATTTACGGATGTCACCAACAATGTTCAATGAATTATTGACAATTGTTGGACCTCGGATTGAAAAACAGAAAGTGGTTCGCAATCCAATAAGTGCTGAAACTAGATTGCATGTGACCCTACGATGGTTGGCTTCGGGTGATAGTATGACTTCACTGTCCTACGCCTATCGCATTGCCCAATGTACACTTTCGCATATCATCCCGGAAACTTGTGAACAAATTTGGCTTGCCCTAAAAGATAGAGTTCTCATTAATGCTACGCAAAACAATTGGAGAAAAGTTGCTGAAGACTTTGAAAGAATATGCCAATTTCCACACTGCATTGGAGCTATCGATGGGAAGCACGTGATTATTCAGGTAGATATATTAAATATTTATTTATATTTCTAGAATGAGTATTCTGTTATAATAATGCGTTCCAATTATAGGCACCACCTCGTAGTGGCTCATCTTATTACAATTACAAAGGGAGCCACAGCATAAACTTGCTTGCGATATGTGACGCTTTGAACCGATTTCTCGTCGTCAATATTGGAGCTCAGGGCCGACAAAGTGATGGAGGTGTCTTCGATAATAGTGCATTATCTCATTTATTTGAGACGCATTCACTCCATATCCCTCCATCCTCACGTATAAAGAATAGTGAATTTAAATTTCCATACGTTTTACTAGGAGATGAAGCTTTCCCTATCAGCACGTATATGATGAGACCGTATCCTCGAAGTGGCAAGTTGAACACCAGAAAAAAAATTTTCAATTATCGTCTCAGTTGTGGAAGAAGGACTATCGAATGTACCTTCGGGATTTTAGTTGCGCGATGGCGACTTTTCCGGCGACCTATTATTGCGTCTACATCCACTTGCGTGAAAGCTACACAAGCAACTGTTATTCTACATAATTTCATAATCGATCGAGAAGTTAACTTATCAGCACGTGAAAAGATGTACTCCATAATGCGCGATGAAGACCGTAATCTGTTGCATACTAGTACTGGTCTAATAGACATAAACGATAGCAATGTATCGCAAAGCCGAGAAGCATCGAAAATTCGAGATAATTTTGCTCACTACTTTGAATGCATCGATCCATTACCTTGGCAATTCAATAAAGTATTGAATAATGACTTTTAAGTAATATCGAGATCTACACTTTAACTTTAATTACTCGAATACAATTTTTCCGCGATTTTTTATATGATACTTGAAACAATCCATTCTCTCTCTCTCTCTCTCTCTCTCTCTCTCTCTCTCTGTATAGAATCTTGTTGTTTATGCAGATTTGCTTAGTAATATAAAAAATAAGGATAAAATAAGGATAATATAAAAATTTATTGGTAATATAAGAAATAAGGATAAAATAAAGTCTAACATAAGAATAAAAAATAAACTTAAGTTAAACTAAAGAACACTTTCTTAATTTATTATTGCAAAGTAGTTTTGTCATAATACATATGTACATACGCAAATGTTATGATCTATGTTAATCTAAATGTATCACTTATTTTAATTACGGAAACGAATACTGATCATTTTTAGGCCGTAATCACACTACAGATTGCTGGTTACGATTGCTGGTTGTCGGTTCTATTTTCACCAATCATGTTGCAGCTAACCTACACTCGCTGCATCATGATTGGCTAAAATAGAACCGACAACTAGCAACCGTAACAGACAACCTGTAGTGTGATTAAGGCCTTACACAGTTTGCCAGGTACACTACTTTCACTCTATCCTCTCTCGAAAGTATGAGAAATAGTTACAATATTTTGCTGAGATCCAAATAAGCTATGTAATATAATACGCGTTATTTGTAATGTTATGAGAAATAAAATATAAAAAAATAAAATTTAATATTAAAACATAACGCAATTATGGAACAGATCTTTTCAATAATAACATATATGTGACTAAGAGCATTATTACACGTTCTTCTCGTTGAGCATCTTGTCTTCTTCTGTTATCGTGAGATCAAAAATTTTCTTTTGGAAATTTCTTCTCTTTATGTAAGGCAAATGACGCAATAAATCACCCAGTACTTCCAGAAAGCTGTCAACTGTGTCTCTTTCACGCTGTGATGATTTGCTTAATACTTCATAGAATGTTTCTTGAAGCTGGGCATGCTGGTCAAATATTTCTGTAAGCATATATGTGTAAATATAATACATGTATTCTTGTTATAATTATTTTGTATACTTTTTCATAATTTTTGTATAATTTCATAAATACGAATGTCTTACGAAAGCTTACATTGTCAAAGATTAAGCCGTAACAAATCAAAATTAACATTAATTGTATTTAGAAAACCGTCTATACGAAAAAAGTATAAAGACATCCAGAAATTGATTGTTAGGAAGTATTCAAATGAACAATAATAAACGATTTCTTCTGTTTGTTGGAAATATATTAAATAAAATTAGAATGTACTTTTTTTTTATTGTTCTTAGGCGATGAACAGGTGCTGTGGCGATTGGACTCACTGCGGTTGTCAGATGACTTAGTGTCATATTCAACACTATCCAATGTTGAACACGATGCTGATACGGAGACATTCGCATCGAAATCTTTAAAATAATCGGAACTGGTTGATGATGATGGCAAAAGGTGTTGCAGAGAGTTGATGGTCCTGCAATATAAACAATCATATAATTTGATGAACAGTTTAATAAAATATACTTTCTGAATTAGTAAAAATTAGTAATAAAGAAATAAGAATTAGGATCAAGGAATAGAATTTACAAGTATTGAAATATTGAATTCTTAATCATTTCTCGTTTTCTGGGATATAGAGTAAATACGTACGGCACTGTAGATACAGTATCATCGAGAAACCTCATTCTCTCGTAATGAGAGAACGAACTTTTCGGTGGATGTGCAGCTTCAGCCCCAGAGCCGCTGCGTACATAGCCTTGCATTTTCTTTCTGGCTTTAATATATGAGTCACGCAGCTGCTTCCATTTTTGTTTAGCCATCGCCACAGTTAACGATCCTACAATTGACAAAATTAATCATAAATTTTCTTGTTAATTATATTTAGAAGCATACAAATATATACATGTAAAAGAATGAACAACTATAAAAATAAAATGTTATTACCAAGTATGTTTTCTATCTCTTGCCAAAGAGCATCTTTTTTCAGCTTTGTCCTGTTCTTCACGGGAATCGTGTAGTCCCACAAGGCTCTTCGTGCATGGACTAAATCTATTAATATTTCATCCAGATTTGATGATGAAGAGAATTTGTCAATTTCCTCAACTTCTTCGACTGATGTCTCCTGCGTGCCTTTGATCTCATTGATCTCTTCAGCTCCATCAACTAATCCCTCCTGCTCGTCTTCAATATCATATCTTTTTTCTTCAAATATATAAATAATTACACATTATTATACATATATATTTGCACTGTACTCGTATATGTATATTTAATGATATACATACCAAATGAAAATATTGTAACTTACGCATTGTGACAACCGCTTTGCTGTCTACATTAATAGCATGCAGATTTTCATTAAATGTTGAAAAACAATGGTATGCAAGAACGTTTGCGCAAGAACCATACACAATGTAGGAGCAATAGCCACACTTCAATTTCTGACGCAGAACACGATTAAATAATTAATCTATACTATTAAATTAAAAATACGCAAATAATATAACAATTATAACCTCTACGCTGAAGTTGAGGTTAAAGACACACTGTCAGCAACATATTAAATATTCAAAATTGCATGCAATTGATTCTATATACATAATATAAATATTACATTTATGAAACTATCAAATTATATAAATACGTACAGGATTATTCATTTTAAAATAACTTCTTCTAACGACTGTTCTGTTTATTAGCATACATTCAAAGAATTAGCAGATTCCGTCTTCCGCTTAAGCACGAGGGAAGAAATGACGGAAACGCGGAATCTAGTTACTTTCTATTCCGCTTTTTCGCTTTTCCGCGTTTCCACGCTCCATGTAATCGCACCCTTATTATCGCGGGGATTATTTCGTGGCTTGGCTTAGCCTTGGTACCAACGCTGTTTGATGTTGATTTTCGTTTTCCACGATGCTCAAAAAGAGGTTTGATAGTCAATGCTACGAAAGAGTTTTTATCGCGGATCTTTCGATTCTAGGCAATCATTTCGTGACCTGGCTTAGCGCCTTGGTACCAACGCTATTTGGTGATTATTTGATATTGACTTTCATTTTCTACGATGCTCGAAAGGAGATTTAACGTTTGATTATCGGCACTATGAGAGAGTTTTATTGCGGGTCTCTCGATTCTAGGCAAACAAGATTTTGTGGGTGGAAACTTCTCTCGGATTTGTGTTATCACTTGGATTTGTTCATGTCTTACTTCATTGATTGAACGGTCGCGAAACGAAGAAATCGTGGAGTCCACCGGACGTAACACTATCATTAACAAAAAATAGACGTTTCGGTCTTGAATATCGCCATCCTTAGTATTACAATCGTAAATCAACGTTAAAATATTAAATTATGTGCGTGTCACGTCCTGAGCGCGAGACTTTCGTGGTCACGAGACGCGGCATAACTCTGTGGGAACGTGAGCGCGGAGCGGGGCGCGCGGGTGAAGCCTTGTCTTCTACGCGGTGTTTTGACGCGTTTTTCTTTCGTTAGGAATCGGCAGCTGTCACCAGTGCTCAGAAGCGAGCACGAATTTCAGAGATAATTAATTGCTTGAGTTTTAAATGATTAACCTTCCATGTTCTTCCAACATAAATAATATGGAGAGTTTAGAGGATGCGTCAGTTGACTTCATTTCGCAATTCGCTCTATCTACGCTTTCCGGTAGGTCGGGAAGAACAGGGAAGGACACAGGGGGGCCTTAAGGACAAAGAAAATAAAGTAGAAGTGAATTTGGCTATATTATTTTAATGTTGATTGCACAAGGTGTATTGTTAATCATTCGAGGTTTGGTGGTTATTAAGATGGGCCTCGTGGCCTTTCGTACGGGCGCCACGTGTGGCGGAGATGGCGGAGGTCTTGGTCGCGGCGGCGGAGTTGCGGTGACCGTGCGTTCTACGGCGTTAGCTTTGTGGGCCGTACTCGGGGAGTCCGCGATGTCGGCCGGCGCGGTCGGCGCGACGGTGGTAGATCTATGGGTGTCCCCTGTGCTTTCCTCTCAGTAGCGGGAAGGGTCGAACTTCCCTTCACTGAAGAGCTCCCGCTGGAGCCTCTTCAGATGGATGCGCCAGCCCCCACGTTTGCCGCGCGGTCGCTTCTTTAGTGGCATCTACGCCAAATAAGAAGCGTTGTAAGAATGGCGTTTTTTGGAGAAAAGAAAGGGGGGTGGGAGTGCGGAGGCTTCGACGCCGAGAAGGCGCTCGTTTAGAGTTCCGCTGGGATTTTGGTTTCGACGTCGCTGTGGGCAGCGCTGTCGGAACCAGGAGAGGAGGTAGCCCGTCAGACGCCGTGGTTGGCGCACGATCGGGGCTAGATTTCAGCGGGAAGTACGGAAGATCCGGAGCGCTAAGTTAAAGCACTAGGTATGCTTACCGTTATGGATCTTTTGGAAGGAATAAGGCGACTTGTCTTTAGATGCTCTGCTTTATATACTGTTTACTTCGTGGCCCCTCGCGGCAAGAGGATGTTTTCGCTCACGTGCCACTGCGAAATCGCTATTACTTGCTGATTGTGTAATTTATTCTAATGACAATAGGGTTTTAGTTAGATTGCGCGTTTTATTCTGCTGCGGGCGTTGCGAGATTCGTATTGGCGCGCTTGGCTATCGTGTATCGCAGCTCGTTGCGGCAGGGCTTGCACTTGTTTCCTGCGCGCTTTTTCATTATAGGTTTCTTGTATCGTTTCGGATCCTTTTGTTCCTTGTGCGCGTGAAATTTGATGTTTATTTAAGGCCTTTTCTCGATTACGTGCGCTTTGATTCTATCCGCGGTGGTTTTATTCGTATGCAGCCCTTTTGTGACCGGTGGGTGCATTCGTGGTTGCGCGGCGATTCATTGCATTGGCGTTATGAGTTTTTATAGTTTTCCCGCAGGTCTGCGGTTTTTCCCTGCAGCTGCGTCGAGGTCAGTTGTTACCTTAATTATTCCTTACATCGTGTTAACGGTGTTTTCTCATAAAAGTGCATCTTGCATCGTTTTCGGCATTTAT